GCTATGGAGGTGTCCCATTGGAGAATATGAATTAGGATACACCCAGGGGGTGGGGGAAAAACCAGAGTCAAGGAAGAACAATGAATGTTGTGCCTCAGAGTCGGCTACACCCAGGCAGTGCCGGCATGTTCACTCCCAATAAATCCTTTTGAAGTTTTCGAAGTTTGGCTCGAGACTCGTGATTTCAATGGGGGCCGCTGCCGGAATCCTGACACCTTGCTCGAGCAGGAAGGGGTTGGACTAGAAGACCCTCCGAGGTCCCTTCCAATTCTATTCTGACGTGTTACAAGCCGAACGTGGCAAGAGTGAAGGCCACCGATCCCGATTGCCATCGTGTCCTCTTCCACGAGGTTTGGTCGTTGCCCCTTTTGGGGCCAAGAAACTCTTCCAAAAACCCAGAGCCGGGCGGTCCGAAGATGGATTACCTCCGTTCCGGAGTTCATTCCTTTTCCCCGGTAGGATCCCATTCAAACCCACCCCTGGGCCTGGAATCGCTGGCGGCGGATGAGCAATTTATCGATGGTGGTTGCCCACGTTTCCGCTGGGTGGCCGGCGAGAACGAGGAAGGGCACGGAGCCGGATGTTTGGGGCCTTTGGGAGGATGACACTGTCATCCAGGTAGACCTTTGGTCCTCTCCGTGACACAACCCTAACGTTGCAGTCGCTCCAAAAGAATTTCCGCCCAGAGTTCTGCTTCCAAAGGGGATGTTTGGCTTGAGAGTCTGACGTGACATTTTTCAAGCGGGGATAGAATGCCGATTAAAAGAGTTGGAAGGGACCCTGGAGATCTTCTAGTCTAACCCCCTGCTTGAGCAGGAGGTCTTACCCCATTCCCTGCTTGTATCCTCATGATTTATATGGACTGTTTCCTGGTATGATTTGATTGCCTAGTTGTACCCTATGGCTGTCATTAAGTGTTGGGCCTGATGATTCTTGACGAATGTCTCTTTTCTTTTTTTATGTACACTGGGGGCATATGTACCAGGATAAATTCCTTGTGTGTCTAAAAGCATTGTGAAGCAGTATATAAGTCTAAGTGCTATTAGTAAGTGGGAAGGAAGGAAGGAAGGAAGGAAGGAAGGAAGGAAGGAAGGAAGGAAGGAAGGAGAGAAAAGGGGAGGGAGGGAGAAAGGGAAGGAGAGAGGAGATGGATCAGGAAGGGAGGGAGGAAGAGAGGGGGGAGGAAGAAAAGAAGGAAGGAAGGAAGGAAGGAAGGAAGGAAGGAAGGAAGGAAGGAAGGAAGGGGGAGGGAGAGAGGGAGAGTGGGAAAGAGTAAGTGAGGGAGGGAGGGAGGAAGGAAAGGAGAAAGGAGGGAAGGAAGGAAGGAAGGAAGGGGGAGGGAGGGAGAGAGGGAAAGAGGGAGGGAGGGAGGAAGGGAGGGAGGGAGGGTGGGCCTTGGTGGCACACTGATTAGAGCACAGTATTGCAGGATAACTCTGCTCATTGCCATCAGTTCGAATCCCACCAGGCTCAAGGTTGACTCAGCCTTCCCTCCTTCCGAGGTGGGTAAAATGAGGACCCAGATGGTTGGGGGCGAGAGGCTGATTCTGTAAACCGCTTAGAGAGGGATGTAGAAGCACTGCGAAGCGGTATGTAAGTCTATTGCCATTTAGCTATTCGGACTAAAAAGAGGCAGCTAA